CGCAAAATGCCCAAATTTTTCATTCGACATCAGTGCCTCGCAGGTATGCCTCGAGTGACCTACAACTTTAAACGCGTTTTACCCGAAATCACTTTTTTTAAACTGGCCGAAGACATAAATCGAATAAATCTTCACCGATTCTTACGAAATTTTTTTTTTTCGAAAACTTAGTTTTTTTTAATCAACAATTTTATATCGTTTTTTATAGTGAAAATTGTAACTTTTTATTCAAACGTCCGCCATTTCGCGAAAAAAACAAAATATCGTAAAAATCTTACGTACGTCTCTTGCTGTTGTTATATAGAAACTAAAAAAAAATTTATTTTTTGATCCAGTACAAAAATTAAGGAGCTTACATCTATGGCCATGGACCCATTAGAAAAAAGGCGTCTTCGGAAAAATGCTGGACAGCGGCCATTTCGACATTAAATCACATAAAAAATTTTGTATTTGTACCATGAAACCTATATTATGAAACTATATCACAGATTTTGAGTCGAATCCTTTGTCGAGTCAAAATAAATTCATAAAATATGGCCATTTTTGTGGGCTCTAGATCAGCTTCCGGCTGGCGGCCACGGTAGCCGAGTGGTTAGCATTGCGTACTAACATTCGGATGGATCGGGTTCAAATCCCCGTGCGACTAACATCCAAAACTTATAGAAAACTAATTTAAATAATAAGTTAAGTTAATTTTTCTAGTTGCGGTCGCCCCTTGACAGGGAATTTCCATCCTTCTGAGTGTATTTCGGACATGAAATAAAGGTCCTCGAAAAAAAATCATCAGCCGTTCGGAGGTGGCTTGGTATAAACTGTAGGTCCCTCTATTTGTTGGAAAAAGATCAAGACGAAAGACCACAAATTGGAGAAGGAGCATGGCCGAAAATCGCTTCAGCGATTACAAAGCGCCAATTATATATATATATATATATAGACCAGCTTCCCCCTTAAAGGTAACTTGTGTAATGCTCCCTAAGGCTTCAGGCTCATCAGTATCTTACAAAAAATGTCAAAAATATTTGAAAAATTTATTACCGCTCAAATAGTGTCATACCTGCGCTTACATGATTTATTGAGCGAATTCCAGTCTGGGTATAAATCTAATCATAGTTGTTCCACAGCTTACTCACCTTCTTACTGCTTTTAGATTTCTCTTTCGACACTGTAAACCATGATATTCTGCTGTTAAAACTGAAAAGTTGTTTTGGTTTGAACACATCAGCAATTAAGATTATAAGAAGCTACTTATCGGACAGATATCAGCAAGTTCAGTATGGGGATGTAATTTCAAATCGCAGAGAAATCATCTCTGGAGTTCCCAAGGTTTCTATTTTTGGGCCAATTCTTTTCAGTTTATTTATTGATGACATTGTTCACTGCTGCAAAAATTCTTCTTTATATCTAAATTACCTCTCACGTCCTATTGGCCTTGGTGAAGATTTAATAGCTAGATAAAATGAGGATCTAACAAGAATAAAGGAATGGTCTAACATTAATGATCTCAGTCTAAATGCAAAAAAAAATGGAGGAACTTCCTATTAATAGTAATTTAGTTGATCTCAGTAATCTGTCACCAATTTTTTCGAACGGTGTTGAACTAAAATTTGAATATGTTGTAAAAAATATTGGCTTCAAAATTAATGCCCGTCTAAATTGTGAGGACCACATAAGCCATTGCATAATAAAAATATATTCGACTTTAAGAAATTTATGGCAGGCATGTGATTGTTTACCGATTAGAACAAAACCTAAACCAGTTACGACCCTTATTACTCCCCGAATTTCTTATTATGAAGTCGTATATGGTACTCTAAGCTATGATTGCAGAAACATATGATATTAAATTTAGATTTAAATACCTCAGCTAGGTTCATTTACTACAAAAGAAAGTTTGAACATATCTCTTTGTGCACCAAAAACATTCTCGGCTTCACACTTGAGAATTTGCTCAAGGTTCGCAATTTAATATATAATATTTATTTAAAATCATCAAAAACCGTCAACCAGTATATATCTTCCACAAAATAAAGTTTGTGCAAATCTTCTCGTACTCACAATATTTCTGTCCCCAAAAACAAAACTTTGCCGACCTCTAGATTGTTTTTTGTTAGTGCTGTCAGAATCTGGAACTCATTACCAATTTCAGTTAAATGTATCAAAACGATTGGATGCTTCAAAACGGCAGTTGCAAATCTATTTGCATAGTGCCCATCCCTATTCTTCTTACCTACGTCAACTTACTGTTGAATCCCCTCCTTTTAGATATAATATTATATAATATTATTCTTAGCTATTCCTAAGATTAAAATAATCAATTTGTAACTCTGTCTTACTGTACGGATGAATAAACTGAAATTGAATTGAATTGGGATATCACAGCGCAAGATTTTGTTCGAAAATTTACGAGTAGCTCGAGCATTTTTCGAACACGAGCTCAAGTAATTTGTGATTTTTCGAGAATTTCGGAGCATTCCAGACGAACTTATAGAAGGTGAAGTTGTCACATAATATGATTGCTTGATACATCAGAAATATGGGTTGACATTAAACTAATTTCCTTTTTGACTTTTTCAAATAGGCTTTTTGTTTGTGTATCGTGTATCGTGTGTAATTTCTCCTTGAAGCAAAAATTTGACTTTCTTCTCAGAACTTTTTCTGAAATTTTTATTTTATTTATACAAAGTGTAAAACTCATTAAAATATTAAAGAAATTTCGACATTTCAATTTGAAGAATTTCAAACTGTCGTTGAGCATCGAACCAGTATCGAGCTACTCACAGTGCTCAATAACTAATCTATGTATATGTATGCAGTCGAGTACGACCAACATCCAAAAATATGGAATATTTAGTTTTCTAATGACGATCACTCCTCGGCAGGGAATGTCAAGTTCTCCAATTGTATTTCTGACATGAGAATTCAGTAAAAATTAGAAAAATCGTCAACAATTGTTCTGACCAAGTATCCTTATTTACTTTTATATTTCAGTTGAAATGAAATAAAAAATTATATCCTAAAAAGAGAAGCAATGGCATTTCAACGGGAATTAATTCCACAATTCGAATGCAATGATGAATGCGAGTCCTAATTTCTCTTCGCTGGATTCTCTATCAGTGCGTTTTTTATATTGTTGGAGTATCATATTTTTTATTCGTATTTACATCAGCGGTAACTTACTTACATAAATGTTCTTAAAAACGTTTCGCTAAGGTTTCCTTTCCTTACGCATTTTTAATTGGTTACCCTAAGGCGACAGCGTCATAAATTTCGCCAAGTTTGTTGACTTAGAGTTGATATCGAGCACTTTTTCGGTATTTTCATACGTCTTTATCTCGATTAACCATAAGAAATATTGTAAAATATTGAAATATTGAACAACGTGGTCGTAATTTAGATATTCCGGAACACCTCCCCCGCTGCCATGTAGCTTATTTTGAACCATCTCTTCTCTAGAAGCTTCGCAGTTCAAAACAATAGAGGAGGTTATCAAATGTGATATAAATGCGCTTTTGAACTTCCCAACGGGTTTTTTTTAAAGGTCATCAGCATTAAAGAAGATTTCGTAGCTTTGCTCTCATCTCCCCCGCACGGCAACTTGGCTATAGCATATCATTTATATCATGCCCTCTCTCCCCTTGGCCTAGTGAGATGATTTATGCACACTCTTTTGTAGATATTGAATAAGAGAAAAAATATATAAAACAAACTTTCCCGGAAAAAGGGCAATTAATTGTTTTGATAATCTCAAAAATGTCCTTTTCTACGAGTTTTCATCATTTTTGGTTTATAACTCGTTAAATATGTTGCATTCTTTTATTTTTTACTTTATTTATAATCAAAAATAGTGTTTTACAATTCATTTTTTAGTTATTAGGACAAAAGAAATATGAATTTATATAAAGAGATAAAAATATATTATTTTTTTACTTTATTAGTTTCAAGATGTGTGGCTATGGTTCTAATAATTTCATTGTGAATTACTTAGAAATATTTGAATTCCCATCACATGAACCTTCTTTACAATTCACCACAAATTGCAAGCAAGAGACCATAAAATATCTGTGCTCACCATGAAAAATAAATACGAAAGTTTTTGGACTTGTCCATAATAGTGGTTTATTTTAACATCTCATCAAATATTTTCATACCCGTTGACCGTATGCTAATAACACGACGTAGTAATAACAGTGGTGTATTGAAAATGTCAATAACAGCTCTGTTCATTCTTTACCGTTTCTAAGAGCTGCCGTACTTGTTGTAACTTTAATAGGTTTAAGTCTGAGATAAAGTTTTCAATGGTTATAAACTTTGCTATTGAATATAACAGACTATAAGGCCATGTTCATATACAATCCGAAGTTATATTATTCAAGTTCCCCTTTTCAATATTTTGAACACATCGTTGAATTATTTAAAAGGTGTTAATTTCCCTCAACTTCCAATTAATTGAATTCTAAATAAAAGAAAGGTCGCCAAAGTCATTAAAATACAAAAAATATAGCAACACGTTGAATTAGGAAAAAACACCACATTTAAAAGATCAATAAAAATATACTTTGTTGAACACGGTATTTGCTGCTAAAATTAATCAAAATAATTGAATTCATTCATGTTTTGCAGCGTCGATTAATTCAAATGAACGTTACTCCACAACAAATTGGAGAAAAAAACCATTCGAAATCCTATTCCTATGTTGATGAGAACAAGTCAGAATATACATTTTGGTTGGCTTGATATGATCGATAACCGTTCTTACCTCTGTTGCTAACAGTACAACTTTCGAAGACTGAGATTCTTTGCCTTAAATATGATTTCGTAATATATTTTATTTTATTAAGTGTCAAGTGTGCTGAGGAGAATCATAAAACTTAAATAGTTAGTTCTCACATGGCACGTCGGTTTTGTTTTCATCTTAACAGTTAAAAAATAAACAAAAAGTTCAACTGATACTACTTTACTTTATAATTAAATCTCTAAAAAAGCTTGATTTTATGGTCTTATTTTATTTAACTGAAGAATGTGACACAGTTCGTTGTTATGTATTTTATTTATCTTTTTTAATAATAATATTTAAAAGTCAGGAACAATCAGTGCTGCTCCCGACAATAATACCGAATCAGGAGTTTCCGTAGTTGGAATGTCTAAGAAGCAAAGAAGTTTATCTCGGCTCGCATTTGAGTACAAAGGTAGTTTTAAAAATCCAGCGGATGGTTTCGGAACCGTTTGTTTCTCCTCTGTGGTCTTGTATGCTTCAAAGGTAATTTTGAACTCAGATGATTTATATTCCTGTGAGTGACTTTCCAAATTTGCCTTAGTCGTAAGTTTTCCATAAGTAAAAACAGCGCCATCCACCTAAGATAAAAATTAATATAATAGTTCCTAATTGAAATAATAAAATTATATTATTCTAAAGTTAATATTTTGAATGTGTACGACAATTCTTTATAACCGCTACAATTTTAATTTTTTTTTCAATACCAGTTACTTGTTCTCTGTCTACGCAGGAAATTCACTAATAATTACATCTTGTTAGATAAGGGCATTATCTCCATTATTTTATTTTCATATTAAAATCGAAATCATGCACACCTCTTAATATTATAATAATTGTATAAAAGATTTCATGGAAAATTTCTTTTCGACATAAGTTTTCAATCAAGTACCTTTTCACTTTTCAAAAATTCCATCACATGGCAGCACTATTTTACTGCGGGTTGAAATGCGAATCTAGTACATTAAACATCAGACAAATTGCCGAGCCCGAGAACGTATAGTTCTACGTTCTCTGGCCGAACTGTCAATCAAAAACAAAAATTCTACAACCAGCCAGCTAAATTTTTTTACAAATCCCGGATTTTGAGGCAAATAGCCTAAAAATAATAAATTAGATTTTGGAAACGAAATATATAAACCGCTGAACAGTGGAGTATCATTTTATGGCCAAAATGGGAAAGGTGAGTTTTAATAACCTTTGTAAATACTTGTAAAAACTAATGATTTCTTGCAGCAAAAACGCAACTGCTGTCTGTTTGTCAAAAACAAAATAAACAAATGTGCAAATATTTTATAATTTCACTTACCTTAAGCGGAGCGATGAGAATAATAGAGCATTTAGTTTGGCTACTAATTTCAGAAGTACCATTAGATAGATATGTCACTAGTTTCAGATCCTTACAAGATATATTCAGTTGCTTGGAGTTAATAACTTTTAAAGTAGAAAGTAATGTCTCACAACTGAAAACAGTTGATAGATCAATTTGATTTCCAAATTCCAAGTGCATTTCTGAGCGATAGCGCTGTTCAGCAGATTGTCCGCGTAAAACAAGTGCGCGTATGAAGTCAGTAGCCGCTGACGGACCATGCCAACAACGCTGCCAAGTGCTCGGAACCTGTAAATGTGATCTATTGGTGAATGTGGTAACAAAAAAGAAAAATTGTATATATGCCTGATTTTCTGCCAGAGTTTGCAATAACGGCATGTCTTTAATAGTACGTGCGTTTTCAGCGGTGGCCTTGAACCAATTATGTACCAATGAAAGCGTCTGATGTACTTCCTGAAAACACTTTACAGCTGTGCCTAATTCAGAAATGATAAAAAGTTGCCATGGTGAATCCGTGTACGGAGTTGCTTGCAATTTCTCCGCCGTTTTCTGAACAGTGCATTTCTGCAAAATTCATATACTTGATAACTACCAAGATTATATTATAAAATTATAATTACTTACACCGGCTAGCTTACGCCAAAGTGCTAAAATTGGTTTAATTTGTTTCTCCAATTTCTTTAAGTCTGTGGTTTCCTTTTCACGTTCTACCGACTCCTCTGGGCAATCTACTTTCTTGTAGTAAGTAGTACGCAACTCAGTAATAATTTTTTTCGAATCCTCAATTTCACGATTTATGTTTGTGAAACTCGACAGATGGAATGTTTCCGGATCATCAGTATCGGGAAACTTTGAAGTAGCACTAATATAATCGAGCACCTGCGTACTTGTGGGTACAACAATTTTAGTATTTAAAGGACTCCAGCGATTGCTCAACACATCTGCAGAGCAGAACTCTTCCAGGTAACGCTGCAGCACTTGTATATCGCGTGTGTTGCTGATCCTACCGCCAAATGCCACATTCTCACATAAACGCTGCATAATTGTCCAATCACAGCGACCACTAGTCATTGTACTATCCAACCAGCGCAGCACTTCCAATGCAGCTTTCAAATCGGCTTCACCAAACTCGTAGTACTTAGACCAACCTTGTGGTATGAATTTGCGACGTTCCTGCAACACCGCCGTAACAATGAAAATCACAAAGCGGATTTTCACTAATTTTGCTTCTTTTGATATTTTGCGATATTCGCTAAGAGCAAAATTTTGTAACATACGACGTACTTTGTGCTTGATACCACTTGGATATTCATATAAAACTTTCACAAACTTGTACATAATTGTCTCACTAAAACCGCGTGTGGATTCACAAATAAGCCACAAGCGGAAACCTTCGCGTTTGCTTAGCATTTCCAACTCACGGTCTAGCAACGACAACCAATCAGGTACCAAATGTACGTTTTTAATGCAGATCCATTTGCCAACTTCTGCTGCCTGCCGTACAGCCTCCAGCGCGCGGCGTTCCATACCGCAACCCATAGAGAGCTCAGTATACCTTTCCAAACCGATCTTTTTAATTGCGGCATTTCTAATCTCCGTACCTGGATCATTTTCCGTTTGTGTAATTACAAGAATAGGTTTATTTTCGGTATTTTCCTCAGCCAGCTGATCCACTGTAGGTTGTACCACAGAGTCCAGTGATATGCCCAAAATTTCGGCAGCGGCTCGTCGTAACTGTGTGAGGATGAGATCTGGGCGAAAAATTTGCGCAATGAGCACACGGTGAAATGAGGATTTTATATCGCCTGAAAAAAAAGACCGTTAAATAATAATTGAATAAAAATTTTTACGAATAATAAAAAACAAATTGATTGTTACCTGGCATTTCTTGTAACTGGTCTACAACAAAACTGCGCCATGCATAGTCCTTTTGAAATTGCAGCTGCTCCTCAAGTTGAGGTACTTGTGTAAGCAATACTTTCAACTTAACCGCCACATCCTTGCTAATAAAATCCGGCAATTGCACTGAGCCCAAATCAACACTGCCCGTGCTGGCATCGGCGGCTGCCATAAAGTTCGTAACGAACATTTCCCACTCCGCCGCGGGAATACGTTCTGGATAGGCGCTTCTGCAGATATACAATGCCAACGATAAATGGCTGGAGCGTGCAATTGAACGTGCCAAATATTGGAAAGTGGCGCACACTAATTGCTCATATATACGCCGTTCGTCGGCCTCATTTGAGTTTCGACTATCAAAAGTCTGCAGTGAATTAATAAAGAGTTGTATAAACGCCAATGCTGGTAGCTCGTAGGAGACGGTGAGCTCAATGTAAAACTTTGCTGACTGTGTACAAAGCTCTCGCAGCTTGGTGAAGTCGGATAGAAGTGACGCCTTAACGCGCGCACTCTCTTTCAGTGATTTATCAATGAAATTGCTACTTTCTTTCACTTCGTTGAGTGTGCTCAAGAGTTTCTCATTCTTCAAAATGTCGCCTTGTGCGGTTGAGAGTTCTTCGAGTAGTTTGTCTTCCAATTCAATGCGTTGTTTCAACAGCACACCCTCGTTTTTCAATAACTCTATGCGCTTCTGCTCCAGCTCTGGGTTCTTTAAAATGATGGCCTTTGACATAAGTTGATCGGCTAATCCAATGGCGGTCACCGTAAACGGTATACAAGTTAGATAGCTTAAAGTTTCCGGCTGAATATTCAATTTATTTGTTTTCGTGAAGAGTAACAGTTGAAAGTTTTCATGTAAATCAATCTTCTTTGAACCCACTTCCACCAGTTTTTTACCGAATTTCACATAAAGGCGCCCTTGCAGTAGCTGTAACATTGGTGGACGGACTTGTTGGCAATCCTGCACCACTAGCACTTTGCCAAAGCGTACGGCCAACTCCAGCATGTAATTTAAACGTTCATTGCTTTGTGTGGTTATGTCATATGGTCTAGACTTCGAGCGTAGATATTCCTCCAGCCAATGTAGTGCGGTTTGCGTGGGGTCTAGCACCAATGGTATTGGGTAGCTGCCGTAAGGTAAATCCACCATTTGGCGCAGTAAAGCAGCGTTTTCGATAATTTGTGCATCCGAGGCGAGACCCATGCTCTCCCAGATGATCTGTTCTTGTTCGGTTAGCAAACTTTTACGTAAATCAAAAGGTCGCAGTTGTAGTTCGCCCAGTAGACGATCCATGCTGAAGCTGAAAAGTGTTGAAATGTATTATATCAGAAACATGTAAGGTAAAAACTCCAAAACACGGCTCACCTTCTACGCTCCAATGTCAAATGCGAAAAGTAGTTGATGGCCAAAGCAATGAGCAACGATTTAGTATCCAAGGTTTTATAAGACGCCTTGTATTCATCCAGTTGCATGCTCCATGTGTGAAACTCAGAGCTAAGCTTTTCGATTAGAACTTCCGCTGCATTCAAAGTTTTTCTTGCATCGTCCAGTTTGATCTCCAACACTTCTGCTTCCTGCGTGTAGGAGTTCAATTTAGCTGACAATTTCTTCACGCGATTGTCCACATCATCTAAACCACTCATAAGGCTTTGCATTTCATCCTCTGCTACATCCAAATTACGTTGCAGCTCGTTCTGCTCACGTTCCAATGGACGTATACTTTGTATAACCTTCGAGTAACGCACACTCGCCTTTACCCAAGCGGCAAGCGGTGCCGCCGCAGCAGAAGCGCGCTTCGCATTCTTCATTTCGAAAGAGTCGGCTTTAGCGTCAAGCAACTTTTCAACAGCAGCGCAATTATCTGGATTTATATGCGCTGGATCTAGAGAGCGTATATCTTCCTTGACGCCACGTTTGGCGAGAAAAGTTTTCATGCTGTTCCACGATGTGTCGCGTATGCCCATCAAGCGCAAAACACCCTCTAGTATGTCGCGTATGGTCTCAGGCGGCGCACGCAGTGAGCGTATCTCGGAGAGCGCTTCCGATTTTATCTGACCCACAGCAGCGCTGGCCTCTGCGAGTATGGGTTCCACCTCGGCGAGTTCCTGTTGTATCTCCTTTTGACGCTCCTTTAATTGCTCGCTGCTCTCCTGCGTTTTCTTCTTCAGTTCAAGCATATTGGTTTTTTGGTCGTTTGCGCTGCGCATAGTTGCTGAAATCATTTCCAATGCATCGTTAGCTAGCTTCCGCTTTTCGGCAAGAGCTTCCTCTTGTTGATGAGCATTTGATTTGAGCGTATCTACCACGTTATGTGCAGCGGCCAGCTTGTCGACCCCTTGCTAGAAGTAAAAAGTATTTGTGGTACGTGAAGTCAAACGAACCTACGCGGCATGCAATTACCTGCAACTTTTCCAATCTCTTGTTGATATCCTTAGCGAAATTCGCATAAATATAATAGTAGGAACGTATCAGTTGGTAGTAACGCTTTGGTGCCTGCTGCATTACCAAGCTCTCGACAGCGTCAGTGAAATAGGAGAACACGGGCACACTACCTTTACAGCCCGCAGCCTCGCCTAACATTTCAATGAATTTCTTCGGCAATTGATTTTGCGTTTCCGAGGAGGCGCTACGCACGAAATACATTTCCATGTTGCGATAAAGTGCCGGAAATTTACTAAATAACCCATTGACTGCAGTGTTGGCTGGGTCTAATGTGATAATTAGGTGCAAATTCTTCTTGGCTTCTGAAAATGAAAGTTTGTTGCGTAAGAAAGGTTGGATTCCATACATTTTAAGCGTTGTGCGTGAATACATACTTCGCAAAAAGTATGCCCCTATGGACTCTGGAAATCCTTCCAATTGTGCTGCATGCTTCAGCGAACTCGCTATAGATTCCAGATCATCACCAAACAGGTCCAGTATTTCACTGCCTTCAAGCAACGCTTCGATCGGTTTCATAATATCCGGTGCAAATGTAATCCAACAATGCTCAATGAGCAATATCGTGCATTGATCATCAATTGCCGCTGTTTGCATGGCCTACAAAATGTTTAGGAAAGAGATGTGTTGAAGTTTTCATTTATTTAATTAGAATGAAGGCTAAAACTTAAAATCCATCCAGAATTCCTCGTGGAAAGAATTCAACGCAGTCAAACACGCATTGCTACACGGAGAAACTCCTATTACCGCTAAGGTCCAAGAAGTGGACCATAAACTATCTTAGTTAGTTGTCGACAGTCATTAGTAGAATTTCGAATGTTTTTATATGTGTTTCGAATCATTCTTCATCACTATAGAATCCTTTCTTGAGCTCATATGACGAATACTACTCGCGTGTGGTTAGGTTATTGATAACATTTTTTCAAGGAAACTGTAATCCCTCTGGTCATAACTACTTCTTATTTGCGCGACAATTAGAACCATCGGTATTCACAAAGGATTGGCAGGTTAAACTCCTACCTATCCAGACTCGACCCCAACATATGCCCAACATGTGGAGAGCGTTCACACGACACTAACAACCTCTGCACATGCCCCCTTAAGCCGCTACATCTAACCTCCCTCTCCCTCTGGTCTTATCCCGTCGAAACAACACATTTCCCGGACCTCCCGTTGGATGACCTCGGTGACTTGAATTGATTTTAAATCTGTCCCTAAGCGGGATTTACATTGTCAATACTACAACAATAACAAAAGGGGCGCCCTAAATGGTGGTGATTGCGGATAGCTTTGCTGTACAAGCAATTTATGCTGGGATGCAACCGAAGAGCATACAGACTGGCACTCAACGATTTTCACCAAGAGTCAATCAACACCTTTAAGAACTGTCTTCCTGTGCTTTCTCGGAGTCAAATCACTACCCATAGCAGATTAAGTGCTCGAGCTACCACAATAGTCCCGCGTAATAATGTCGCAATCTGGATATTCTACAAGGTTAAACTCCTACCGATTCAGACTCGACCCCGACATACCGAACGTATGTCTAGCATGTAACTAGACAATGCATGATGCAAAACACCGCTTACCATGCACCCTGAAACCAACATCTTATACCTTTTCTACCTTTGGTCTGAACCCAACAGCAATAACTGGGAGCGACAACACCTACGGGTTAGGGGTTCAAGAATTTACTCGCGGTAAGGCGACTAAAAACCAATAGTTCCAGTCGGGTCTTTATACCGAACCGACCCGGATTTTTATCCGGCCAAGGACTGTCACTCCCGCAACATTCCCCAACAGCGGTTACAACAACAACTAGGAGCGACATTAGACAGCCTGCATTCCTTTACGATTTTCACTAGAATATACAGAGTCGCAACAGAATCTTCAAGTCGACAACCTATAATCGGCCGGCCTATCATAAACTATGTCATACCGATTTGAATATCGTGGTCTAGTGAGACACAGATTAAGAAGCTACAAGCCTGTTAGAACACCAACATGGGGTGCATAAAAGGAAAAATACTTATATGTTCCCAGTTAAGGTGCCGTACAAGCAATATATTTTGGAACTCTAACGCAAAGATTGTCCTTGCAGCCATCTACCAGAAGCCGGACTGCCTCAGGCATATTAGGACGGTAGTATTTGACTTCAAGGACTCCATTTTGCAGTATATTAGAGAACCGCTGGACGCGACGAGCTACCGACGGGCCTTAAATGCCATTCACAGAGCGTCTGTAAACGTCTTCACGAAGGTGCTCGCTGGATCCGACTAATGTCTGGAAACTGTATTAGATTCAACTGTCATCCCGATCCGATCCCAACATATATAACGTATATCCTGCTATGAGTTTCCCCGCCGACCGCGACTAACTTTGCCTGCTACTAAGCACGGTCTAAAGGACAATTTCCATCAGCCGTCTGGACTTGACATAATACTGTAGGTTCCTTTACTTTAAATATTAACTAAAATTGGAGGAGTTAGTTTTTTACAGAGGAAATCCGAATTCGCTGTGGGTTTGATCTCTTAAAATTGTCCCTCAAAAGTCAGAAAATATAAAAAATTAAAAATTGTAACTTTCGGATGGATAAAAGAACAAGCGAACAGATCTATTTTAAGCCCTTACCAATTTTAAATCGTTGTAAAAATCAGTCAGCCCATATCCAGCGCCACCTTGCGTCACATAAACGTTTGCCTGTTGCATATTCGCTGCTGCGTACAGCGCATCCACATGTCTGCCACCAGCGCGTGCAAGTATTAGCAAATGCGTCTCATCGCGCGTCAGTACACGGGCCACTTTTGCTACCAAATCAAGTAGTTCTCTTGTAATCGGCTCGTCAATGACGAAGGAATCTGCATCTGAAAAAATACAGTTTTGCTTAGCGCATAACAGCAGAAATTAATTTTGTTTATTTTATCTACTGCAAATTGTTATCTGCTTCTGTACTTCATCCAGCCATTCCTCGTGTGCGAGTGCGCGAAGCTCGCCGCAATGCTTTGGTGACTTCGGCACAAAAAATAGTTTCTGGGAGTTGTAAAAAAATTATGATTATTTTTTTTTAACAGTACATTCGTTCAGCTTACCTCTCTGCCATAAAACTTGCGCATCGTTTGCCTGAATAAGCTCTGAAATTCATTCACATCAGACTCGCTGGCCAAACGATCTTCGAATATGGAAATCACTTCGGCACAGAAGGCCTAATAAAGCAACGAGCAAAAGGAAGATAAACACAGTTTTTGGGTTTTAGAAGGGAATACATACCTCATTGAACGACTCAGCCGGGTAATATTCGAGGTTATGTAGCAACTTCATTATGAATTTCGGATTGAAATTGTAGTGTTCCCACGCTTGTGCGGAAGTAGTGAATGTGGCTTGTATCTGGAAGTAGGATTATAAATAACTCTCCAACACTCGTTTCAAAACCACTCACTTTTTTGAACAACTCCAACAGACCTTCAACGACGTACTGCACATTAACTGCAACTGTTTTAAAACGTCCACTCGTCAGTAGGGGCTCCAGCTGACTCTGCACAATGCTCAACATATCGACATCAGATGGATAGCTCACGCGCAAGAACTGATTCAATGCTATGAAACGGGGCGCCAACTTGTGCAGACCACCACTCATAGTAGCAGCGCTGGCTTGGGAAAGCGAACCGCATATTTGTACGCCGCTAGTGTGCATCCATTCCAAGTTGTCTGCGTAGAAACCGGCACGTTGTACCAGTTGCAAAAGTAGCTCCATAATTTCGCTTGTGCCCCATGCGTCTAAGTAGCATAAATCCAGATTCTTCAAATACAGCAACAGACGTGTTTGTTTCGGTTTGAATTCGCGTCCACGTAGACCGCTCACGACAACACAGTTCTAATGGTTACAAGAGGAGAGTCTCATGTAGAGGTTAACTCTATGAACATACATTAAACGAATACCTGTTTCAAGCAATGCAAAATGTAGGCAGGTGTGAGCTGCATGGAGCAGTTAATGACAATCAAGTCATAGCCTGCATACTCCTGCACAGCCTGTAGCAACAAAAGCGTCTTGGCCGCGCCCGTGGGACCCACTATAAGAAAGGGCGTATTAACCGGGGCGCTTAAGTAGTTGTGCAAGGTGCTCAAATACGATTTCACAGCGGCCGTCTGTATGAGTTGCACGCCATCGCTTGCATTCATTAACGGTAAATTATCTGATTCATAAAATTCAATCGTACCGCGTTCGCTATTAAAGTAGGCAAGTTCAGCACGATTTGGATTGCTTGTGTAAATATTTGCGCGTTCGTATATAAAATTAGCGAATTCGTTATGGCGTTCGGGTGGCAAGAAGCCATATAGAGAGCGACATAAAGTCACGCTAAACTCCTCCCGACTCTGAACGGTGCGCAGGCGCAGTAAGAGCGCGCGTAGTAATGTCCAAGTATTTAGCGCTGGTAGACAGCTGTTGGAGTGATGACGATTAACAATTTTAATTCGAGAAAAATACTCTATGATGCTAGATACTTACTGCAAGTACTCCTTTTCCAGCCACTGTGCGGCTGGCTTGAATAGTTCTTCAATGTAAGTGTGCAACAAATCACCGAACTCTTCCTTGGCCAACATGGTTTCCAATATTTGAGCTTGCGGAAAGTCGGCGGGGCTGAAAGTGAAATAATATATAAATACTTGCGGCGAGCGGAGAATTATACACCAAGATTTGTTACTTCATATTCACAATGCCCATGCGCGAAATGGTGGCTGGTGAAGCGTGACGGACATCATCCGTTTCGAAAATAAAATTCACATTGCTGCCGAACTGTATACGCCAGCCTGATGGCAGGGTCAACAATCTGCGAAAAATACAAAAGAAAATCTTGAGAGCCTACATATATTTTCTTCAAAAATGTTTGGACATAACCTAAAATTTATATGCCAGTAAACTAACCCCTTTCCATCTGTTTTTAATTCCAGCTTACCCCCGAGGAAGAGGCAAGAAATAAAATTCTGATGCGCGAACGCGATCGTGAGCGAAAACGCATGAAACGCCTCAATCCCGAGTATCGTCGTATGGAGCAGGAACGTGATCGTGATAGGAAAAAGGCTAGACGTGCCAACGAGGCATTTCGCCAGCTAGAGAAATTACGTGATAAGATACGTAAAGAACGCAAAAAAGGTATCATCAGCGAGGAGGCGCTGCAAGCCGAATTTGCGAATATACCACCAGTGCCTGTAGAACCAGAAGTGATTATAACCGATGCGTTACCCGGCGATAGTGTAACACCAACTGAGAATAGCAACAACAATAATAATAGCCGACAACGCACTGCAGTTGGATCGACTGCAACAAGCCATAACATAAGTCACACATCATCAGCGATCAATAGCCTTCCTACGACCATCACCACAGCAATTGCTTCAGCGGCAGCAGCGACAAGTGCCTCGACGGTGAGTTCAGGCATACACCAACAAGCACCGGTTGCGCATATGCCACAGTTGAATAAAGGTTTACTATACCCACCACCGAATTTCGCCCATCATCCACTACCCATTGCCGGTGTTGCACTAATGCCACAATTATGCCATCCCATCTTACATCAGAATTTAGGCGCTTCCTTGTATCCCACTAATGGTATTAAGCAGGAATATCATGCCATCAAGCAGGAGTATAATGCGGACACAGCAAGTGGTTCTTCATCATCGCCCCTAAATGCTGGCGCTCATGGGACGGCCGCTTCGAATTCCGGTAATGCGGAGGATCGTGATATAGCAATAATTGAACCCGAAATTATCTTACATACCTCCTCCGATATAATTGCAGCGCCACATCACTTTCAGAATGCGCATGCGCATGCGCATGCTCATCATTTGCATCAGCAACAGTGTAGTATGTTTCAACATATGGCGCCACAGGCACACATGTCCCAGATGCGCGCACATGCCGCCGCACTGCCACCACCACCGCCAGCCACTCATGCCCATAATCAGCAGCAGCAGCAGCAGCAACAACAACAACAACAGCAGCAGCAGCATATGCAACAACACTATGCGAATAATAAAGGTTCTTAATGATTAAAGCGGTGACAATGAGCGCATGGTGCCTAACCACTTTTACAACAACAACAACAACAACAGCGCATAGTGCCGTTACTTGAAAATGATTTAAATGCAACATTTTATGCCCGGCTGGCCATGTATATTAGATTTATTCGTATAACGGTTATCTCTAAGAGCATAATATACATATATTCGAATGGGTTTAGTCCGTCTGTTGGCCTTCTCTCCATCCTTTTGCATGATTACACTGAGATACTTAATCGATTTGGATTGTTTAGTGCTCTAGCCTTCGTATATTCCGCGTCCCTAGTGCCCTTATACCGCCAATTATCGTTTTGGATAGCTGCACCATGAAACCGCTTGTATTTATATTTAATATTTTTTATTTACTTATTTTGAAATTATTTTTTTTACAAAAACCTAACTACTGACCGGCTGATATCTCGTGTAAACAACAGCCGGGCATCTCATGTTCGGTTCCGCCCGAACTTAGTCTTCCCTATGTGTTATAAAATATATATAAATATATATTTTTAACTGCTTTTAGCTGTAGAATTTCGAACACTTATAGTTGTTTAACATGGAAAATTTATGTTCTCATTTTCACACACATACATACACAACATATATTTATATACATATAGAGCACATATATGCATAAACATACATACATTTAGATTTTTAACACGAATTTCGATTTCATCAAATGTCACACACATACATACATGCATAAATGTAAGCTTCTTTCGAAGAGAATGTAGAGTTAGAATTATTATTGAAAGGCATTAAGTATCATCGCAAAGTTTTAGTTTACTTTATCAAATATCGTGACACGAATCGCTTTTAGTGCTTAAAACATTTCAAGGCAATCATTTTTTATTTTAACTTTTACTTAAGTTGACGCTTAGTTTGTAAGTATATACATTATATAAAAGATACAGATTGTAATCTAAAAATTACAATAATAACCTTGCAGCTAAATTCCGAATTTATTCGAAACATAAAATAAAAATTTGTCTAACTAAAAAATCTTTACACTTTTTGTCATTGTTTTAGAAACAGTCTAGTTGAGGCTTCCAAACTAGACACATAATTATATCTTTAGTGGTCTACAGTAAGCTTGAGTTCACCTCATCATCGGAGATTCGTAAAAGCTAGAAAAATTATGTTATGTAAAGGAACATCCTGGGTGCTTTCTGGAGAGGTTAGCACTCCTCATAAGTGGATTGAGAAGTATACACAGATACTCGTTGAATATGACAGGTGACAAACTGCAGGCTGTAGCAACTCGAGCTCTTCATCTCCAATAAGTTCTTAGCATGTCATTAGCTAGAAAAAAAGTGACAAAAAGTGTTGCCGAATACCCTGTCGAGATGTTGCTAAGTACAGAGGTTGTTGTTGTTGATGGTATAACGGCTGGTAACCTTGCTTGGAATCAAGCAAAGCTAGTCTATGTCATCGGCTTCTAACGGAAGGCCTGTCAATTAAAATATTTCAAAGGGTTCTGACCAGAGGAAGAGATAAGATGAGATGAGATGTTAGATATTAGATGAGTAGGATATAAAGGACACTCGAAGAGGTAGGGGTCTCATTGTATGAAGAACATACGTTAAATATATTCGGGCTGCGTCTGAATCAGTAAAAGTTAAGTTTGCCACAACATGCAGGTCATAATTATGCTAATATGACTCAGGTATCGCGAGCCAGCTCGAGCTTTCGTTGTTGTTGTAGCCGCAATCATATGCCCCAAAGAAGGTTTTGGTGAATGTTGCAGGAGTGACATTCCTTTGTCGGATTGGTTGCCTCTTACGACAGGCATGCTTTACCACGGAAAAAGTCTTTAACCCCTACCCTGCGGGGTATCATGCTATTCATCTGCTATGGGAGAGGATAGTAGGTTTCCGATTAGCTCAGCCCCCCGCCCCAGAGGTGCGATTATACAGCATAACTGTGTCAAGACGTTTCACTGCGCAAATGGGTGCAGAGGGGACTTCCGTGGATGCGACTCTCACGACAGCCAGTTAATCTGAATTTTACCCAGCGATCTATCTCCGTTTAGGTCAAAACTTAATAGATGCTGCTCACAAAGCACGTCATGATGCTTTCTGATTGTAAATGCGTATAGTCGAGATCAGACCACGCGCCACAGCGGTCTATTGCCCTGTTACATCGTAAGTATGGCTATTTTTCGTCGGCGCTTCACTAGTTCTAAGCGTTCATGTAAGTTGTGCATGGTTAATAAACGATCTATCGGTTATCTTGTACATCGGCTTTAAAATCGGTGTGGACGTCTGCTTTTCTTCTAGATCCATCAGAATCCTGTATTGAATACTTTCAAAACTTGAGTGGTGCTGCCCATCGGGACGTAATGAATTAGTCAGTTTAACTACTGCCTGCTCATATATTTATTGAACTGTACTAAAGTCACTTGTCTCGAACAGCCTAACATTCTATCCTCTGCGGTATTCGCCTTTGTCAATGCGACAAACTTTTCTCCAACATTCCCAAAGTCGGTTAATCGAATATTGTCAACGTCCACGCTCCTGCACCGTCAAGTAGGGCGGGAATGATGAGCGGCTTGTCTTTGGCTTTGCTTGTCATGACAGAGCTTAATGCAGTCCAAAGTAGTACACAACAAAATCGTTTGTAACTTCAAAGCAATGGTTTGTATCTTCAAAGTTCTGTGAAAGCCCAGATGTGACTGTTTGTTTAATGACCGGGAATATTTCATCACACCCATATGCTTCGCTTCCTTATCGGAGAAAGCAGAGCTCACCGCGCGGTTTTGAAAGATTGAACCTTCTCGTATCGCAGATCGAATTATTTTCTCCGGCATAAAACTAAAAAGTCACTCGAAAAAGAGTTATCTTGTTTGAAACCATGTTTGATCGAATGTCTCGGTGAAGTCTGGATTCTAGATCTGGAAAGTTCTTTGAAGATGGAATTTATTTTATATGCGATATTGAAGAGACTTATCTTATGATAACTCGCGCAGATTGAGTGGATACTTATGTTGTGGAATGAAGAAATGTTGATGCCTGTACCTGGACAGTTCTTCGCCACCTTCATTGAATAGCTTTTAAGCAAGCGACTTTGTTGTTTTTTGAGGCAGCAGTCGTCATTCGAACATTGCCATAGTCAGAAGACGAAGCTTCGGAGCTTTTGAGCTGTCCTTCTCCTTTCCTTTCCCTTGCGATGTTGATTATTCACTTATTAGAAGAGGACATCACTCCATTTTACTTTTTAATTTTGACATTAAGCCTTTACGCAGTGCAATGCACGTCCACAATTGGTTCGCAACAGAAAGGAAAGGAAAATTAATTCTCTTGGCAGTAATTTCGAGGATTCTTATAATTGGTCATGATAACGTCCGTATAAATGGATATCAGGCTGGCGGAAACCATTTGTTGTCGTAGCAAAATCGACTGTTTTTTTTTGGTACAATTGACCTACCCCAATGTAAGTAATATGTCCCCTCATTCATTGTCATTTGATGAACTTAACACACTTGCAACGACCTTAATATTCATTCACTCACCTGTTATCATCTAACACTGAATTCAAAGCTTCAATCCACTCCGGATCAATGCTGCCATCACACACAATCCACGAATGAACATTTGACGGCTCCGCATTTACTATCACAGCCGTATTGGTCAACACACCATCCATCCATTGGCGTGTCTCTGGGTCAAGGCGACCGAGCAGTTGTACGCGGCTCATCGATTTTGGGTTGATTGTGTGAAGACGAATTTGTGACGCCGTTTTCGATGTCGACTTCATTGCAGTAGACATCAAAGCTTGCCTAAGCAGTGTGATTACCGTCGATTTTCCACACCCTGGCGGCCCAACCACCACAACACCCATACGCTTGTTAAGTTGTTCCTGCAGCTGCAGGGCCTTTTTGATTTGCATGTCGTTGACGCAGAGTCCAAGTTTCGTACACGCCTCCACTAATGCTTGTTGTACCTCAGATTTACAATGAGCGACTTTTCCAATTTCCGGAAAAACGTTTGTCAGTAACATATCGAACCGAGCCACATCATGTAGTTGCAACTTCGATAGAATGGACATGCGTAACATGTGCACTGCCACTGACATTTCCATATTCAAACTACTATCTGTGGCATTTGATGTTGCAGCACTGATGTCTACAACGGCACTAGCTAAGTCAATGCTCTTTGTCTCTTTGTTTGTATTTAACTGTGCGCGTAGTTCAGTGCCACAAGCTAATAGAATGGTTTTCAACTCGCGTAAGCCCCAATCGTAGTGACGTTGAGCTGATAGCATTTTTGTGCACAAATCGAAAAGTTCGACAATTCGTTCGGCAATTTCACTAGCGTGCTGAAATCCCTCCACAAATAGCATGACACGTGAGATCTCCAACGGCTCAGGCTGTTGCATTACAATGGGCCGAAATAGCGCTTGTATGTTGCCGGGCAACTTTTGACGGCCACCATAATCGGCGCCAGCTGGATTTAAGGTGACAAAAATGCCGCAATGCTGGTCAAGTTTGGTCTGTAAAGAGTTAAGTGCGGCAAAATTTGTTGGTAAGAGTGTCAATAGAGATGCAAGGGGATGGCGTTAGAATCAGTAAATAGGATGAGAAATAAGAGTTGAGCTATGTATGTAGTTGATATATGAAGTTCGATTAATTAGCTTAGCGAAGGTGACAATAAGTGAGATTTTTGTAAGTCTTCAAGTCTACTACACGCCTCAGCACTGTCTATTGCTGAATAATCTTTGAAATAAACTGGAAGTGGAAGTTCTGAGAAGGTTGAAGTCGGACTCATTACTCGCACATGAATCATTTTTAGATGTATAATAAAATCGTAACTCTTTCTCCAAACTAATTTCGTTTGTCCACGAGATTAAGTCGTAGAGGATAGACTTTTAATTTATTAATATTGACGTCTCTTACTCGAAAGAAGGGTTCGGAAAAGTGCCGTGGAGAAATTGTTTCCCCCTCATCATTCCTATATCTAGATGATAGATATAAGTTGCACCTGAAATAAACCCCTGGCTTTTACGCATTCTCAGAAATCCCTGTTCATTGTCTAGTATGTGTTCTCCTTTGGCCAATTGCTTCAGTAGCAGTTTGTATAAGTAAAATGTGTAGCTAATATATCTGAAACAAAACGGACCCAATACCTAACTAAGCAGTGTGTTCTTTTCAGCCTTCTCATGAAGAGATTTGCGATATTTCAGTACGGTTTTCAGAACCAAGAATTTCTATTTGTTCTGCTTCTAAGATAGCGAAGATCTGGTCATGAAACCCTCTTTGAAAAAAGAGTTTCTGATTGGTAGTGCCCACGTTTAAAAAAAATACACTTCAAGATCTAAGCCGTCAGCTTATATTTAAAACTTAATAGCTGGAGCGGCATAGTTTACGACTCATTCTTCTCTTCTGGACATTATTTATTTAATTCATGTTGCCAAAAGCTGACACTGAAACCAGTGCTATCAGTGACTAGGTAGAAAGTTTTAGTAGTTCTCTACGATTTTCGAATGCAATAGTCAATGATCGACACATTTTTATTGCTTCCTTGAAAGGTAGGTCCGCGGGTGTCCTCATCTGCTGATTTTCGGATCGAGTGGAAAGTTTTGGATGTTCAAAAATTTAAATGAGAACATGGGAACAATTCTGAATAGAAATCATTACGTCAGCTTGTAATCTTCAACTAAGTGTACAAGATGAATAGAGCTCTTGCACAGCGCCATCAAATAAAATTACCTTGACCTTTAAAGAATCGCAGGAGAAACAATACGGTTAAATTTGAAAGATCATAAATTACAATGGCGAGCTCTTGGGGGATCTGGTAGAAGATCTGTTTACATTGTAAAGGAGACATGATACCTCGCTGATGCTGTTGAGTTTGAGAGGGTTATTACGATTTTATTTGCGGGTTGATGAGATCAGCTTACTATGCTCCCACTCCTTTCTTTAATATAGCAGTTTTTGGTGATCTCCACCAGGACTTCATCCACGCTTCTGGTTCATCGAGGGTGGACTTTTTGAGTACCTACCTACCCGAATCCAAAAAAAGGCCCTGTTGGCGAGAGTGAGTCTATTGTGAATTTCCAGGCTGACATTGTTTTTGGTGTTAACGCTGTTTCCAAGATAAACGAAATTATCTGCGACTTCAAAGTTATGATTGTCAACCGTGACGTGGGAGTCAAGATGCAAGTGAGCTATCATACGCCTTTGCTTTTCTTCTCAATATAATCTAGAGAAAGCAAAACTAATAGCGCGGTTGCTAAGGCTATCATATGACAGTCTTCTAAAATATATATATAGATCGCTTAGTAACTCTTAATATGGGTTTCTGTCTGAAGCCTCGTTTGATACAGGGCGGCTCAAAGAGATCCTTCTAAATTTGGACTACTCTTCGAATATTTTTCAGCGCCAGTTTACACAGAGATACAAGTTTTACAGGTATTCAAAATTCAGATAAGACAGGGTAAAGGCAGCTCCTTTGCGTACTGTCAGAGGCTGTTTTTAAATCAACAAGAGTGTCGTCTGCCAATCCTAGTGAATATCTAGCCAATGATGGATTTATCTTTGTCCAATCCGAACAATGATGGTGAGCTTTAATTTTTCGTACAGTTTCTTATCCCACGATAATTGGTAAAGACTGTGTGACCCATCATCTTCTGGAAGGTATGCTTTCAACTAAAAATATTTGTCAATAACTTTTACGGATGTGGTGACGGTTACGTACCAACTACAACAATTTTCCGTTGGGAAAACATACTCCTAACAACTTTCTAACAAAAACCTTACTTTTGCTTCTTTACTCGTGAATATTCCATTCGCTCATGCCAGTTTTTTATTAACACAACAGCTCAGCCTTTCAAAGCAAAGTATTTTAATAAAATAATATATTCTTCCGATTCCAGAATCTCTACTTTGAGCATGGTTTTCATTAAAATGCCTTTTGGCTATGTAATTCGCATAACAATTTGGTTAAGCAAAAACCAATGATAAGAAGCATTAGACAGAGATTAAGTGTGTGTGATTCAGCCCACCGCAGATACTTACATTTCTCTCGCCAATTTGAACCACATCCGTTTTATCCTTTAGAGCCATCTGTATGGGTTGTATTAGCATAGAAATAGCTGAGAGCGTAGCTTCATGTAGACGATTGAATTCATCAAAGCAGCCCCAAGCGCCGCAACGCGCCAGCCCAGTTAAAATTAGGCTCATCGATTCAGTATCCACATTCTGCATTCAAAAACATACACACATTCGTGTACATACACACGGCGAAGTGCATTTGCAGGCGTATGTGCATTGCATTTGGGTTTATTGAGAGGAATGGCATGCAAAAAGGAAAGAGAATACATTAACAACTTCCCCACTTAATACCGGAGTACCCATTGCCATCCTCAACTTACCTCATCACAATTGAAAACCAACACCAAACGGCCCAACATAGCACCCAGCGCCTTAACACACTCCGTTTTACCCGTGCCAGCCGGACCGAATGGATTGCCGCCCAAACCCATATGCATTGCTTGTGTGAGTATGAGATAACATTTGTGCGTCAGCTTGGTATTCACCAGCTTGTTGGGATTGCCGAGAAACTCGTAGGAATACTCGAACTCAGCGTAAACCATACGCACAACAACCAAGCGCCCATCAGCACCAGCCAAATAGAACTTCAACTGGCACAGCCAATGCCAATCGGTGATATGCATTACATTCTGCTGTTGCAGCTCCTCCACCACCGATGCATAATGCACCAAATCGAAGAGCAGTGCACGCAGTTTAATCTGTAGCAGTGTGTCGTTTGTTTGGTTTTTCATGTTGGCGAAGTGTGTTATTTCAGTGTTCAACGCCTGATGCAGCTTACGCAGTGACATGGACTGTATGGCTTTCTCAGTTTGATGGGTGTGCTGCAGGGCTCGACTGGTGCTCAACACTTGGATGGGGTATTTTCGTAACATCGATTCGGTGAATCTTTCTCCGCCTGTGACTGTGTAGCATTCAAATATTGCATCCTTGAGTGTGCTCTGTATGGAGCTAACTAAGTGATTGAGCCAATTCTGTCGTCGAGGAGAAGAAACAGCATGAATGCAAGAGATAGATAATGTCAATATGTGTATGTGTAGTGGTTACAAAGACGAAGGAAGTTGTTTTGTTGCTTGTTTGTCTAGTTTGGTGAAAAAGAAAGAAAGAATGGCAATGCCTTGGTTGTGAACCAACCTCAATGGGTCCTTTCATGGGCACAACTTGTCGCAACTGCAAAATATCGCCTTCTGCACTCAGCACCGATTGTATACTGTAAACGGTTGGTTCTTCGTTCAGTGACTTTGATATGCCAAGACTGTGGCAGCCGGGAAAGAGTTTTCTGATATGTTTTTGTATAATTTCAGCATCCTTCGTTGCTTGTCCCAATATCTCCAGCAAATCATCGTCACCAAGGAAATAAAAACGAGGAAATGAATTTCGTTTATCCTGTGCATAAGATGATGATGATGAAGAAGAAGACGGTATTGTATTTTAGCTGGCGAGAATTTAAATTGAAAATTATATGAGCTCACCATAATGTAGGTCATCAGATTGTTTTGACAACGTGTTAGCTGCGTTTCCAGTGAATTGACTATGGTTGATATATTGTTAATTTTGATAAGTGATATTATGCGTGGATCTGCTTGAATCTCGCGCATCACATAGCGAAAATCCTTGTCGATGCGTCGAAAGAGTGCTTCTTCGTTTCTTAGTGTGCCGGCGCCGAAGACGGGTTCCAAGTATACCCATCTGGAATAAAATTTTTTTTTTTTAATGGTACGTGTTTTTGATATAAGTTGGGTGTTTGCAGAGATACAGCGTAACTCAGATTCAATCATTTAGGAATAAACGGGTTCGAAGGATGATCTGGAATGTTTGCCTTATATAAAATAAAGCCGAGGCATATTTCAAAGTATTAAAATCCAATCTATTACACCAGTTTAGTCTACAATTTTTTATGGAGGCATAATCTGATAGTCGGATTGAAATAACGAATGATTTCAAGCCATCCGAACCTAGAAAAATCATTGCAAACCCACAAAACGTACAGACGTAATCATAACTATATTTCGAGTCTGGACATAACATGACATGTTGAGTTCGCATTTTGTACCTCCATCCGCTCATCTTTGAGCGCTCATCGGTAACTCAGAAGCTAAAGGGCGGCGTTTCAAGTTTTTTGCTTACAACTGAAACAGGAAACTATTGGTTTTCTAAACGATTGCAAAACTAAGTGATACGATGAGAAGTGCCGTACCGAAATGGCTAGAAAACAAGCTGCCCACTTCTTGACCTTAAAATAGACCACCACACAGGTGGGGTGGGATAGATGCCGTGAATTGAAGACCGAAGCGAGGTTCATGTGATGATATACGTAAGGAACATTTCTCTAGAATACTGATGGGTAGAGAAAATGGAGCACCAGGAGATGGAGAACCCGATTCCCCAATCAATCATGAGGGAACACACGCTTATTGTCCGACTATGAATAAGTTGGAATAGTAATTGCCCGGTTGAAAAACAACAAGTCGGCAGAATTATTCAAATACGGCGGCGAAGAACCAACAATGAGCGTGCAATAACTTCTTAGCAAAGTTTGGTCTGATGAAAGTGTGTTCTGACTAATCCACAAAAATGCCTACTCAATATAGCGTAAAAGGTTCCATCGCACATATTATGTGAAATACTAAAGCCTTCCTCCAACAATATAATAAACTTTATCAATGTGGCCTTAGATCCAGAAAATCTGCAATTGAAAAGGTATTGACTACTCAACAAAACTTAAAAAATATAAAATATTAAAATACTGACGTTAAGCAGCAACAAAAGCTTAAGGTCATCAATGTCGGGAAGAACCACGGTACCAAACGAGGCTTCAAACATGATGACTCATTCTCGTTGAGCGCTTTAATCTTCTGTTGTCGAAAATTATAGAAGAGCTGAATGGAGATGGTATATTTATTATCTATAAGTGTATACAAGTTCTGTTGTACGTCGATCATACTCATGTCATTGGCGTCAAAAATCACGTCGCGACTTTTGCTTTCTCTTAACTGGATAAGGAAGCGAAGGGTTTTGATCTGGTAGTAAACAACTACAATCATCAAGCAAACAGTCATCGCATACTCGACTCGGCTTCCACGCCATTGTTGGCAGTCTTAACTATGAAGTCGTAAACAATTTCTAATATCTAGGAATATCAGTATTAACACCAACAACAATATCAGCCTGAAAATGCAGCGAGTATCGGTCTTGCCAATAGGTGATACTTTGAGATGAGTAGGCAGCTGGAAAGTAAGCTCCTCTCTCGACAAACAAAGACCACACTGCAAGTGCTTCGTCATTCCCGCATACTACATATATGATACAGAATAGATAGAGAGTTTATAGGAGTAGCTTTGTGAAAAGTTCATGGTCCCCAGCATATGGGTGACGGCCAACATTGCAGTCGATGGAACGATGAACTGATAGTTCAGCGGACTAAGACAGTTTCTTTTATCTCGTCTCATAGAAACTCCTCAAATTCTCAAACTAAAAAAGTGGTGCAGAATTTAAGCATCTTTCATTTTTAGGACACTTGACAAAGGCTAAAATATAATGCTTACAACTACTGTAAGTTACAACTACTGTAAGTTTCCACATCTCAAGCCTGCTGGGAGTCAAAAAGTTTGTACATAATAGAAACACATTACTTTCAAAGAGCGAGCAGGGTATATGTCCCGTGACTGAGTACTAAATAGAGGGTTAAATGCAGTGAGTTTGTAAGACTCAACACTGTTTGATATAAGCATTTATAGTCAAAAGAAAAGTCAGTAGGATTTGCACATAGAATCAACGTTCTTACCGTCGTTGCGACTGACTCAAACTGGTGAGCAACGAGTCGAGAGTATTTAATCGACTCTCCCATAATTCTGCCTGATCGGAGAATGCCTCGAAAGCTGCTGAGTTCTTAGTTGACTGTAGCAAAGATTGGTTATCACCTATTTTATTCAAAACTTCTTGATAGTCCCTGATGAGCGATACACTGTGGCCAGCGGAGTCTTTATGATCGGTCAACTTAAGATTAGCAGTCACAGACCATTGATCCAATTCAGTTAAGGCCTGACGAACAATTTGCTCTGAGGCAGCTTGTTTTACTAGATTCGTTATCTCCGGCGCGGCTTTTTGTAGAGCATAGCAATCCTCTAAGATATCACGCAGATAGAGATTGTGTAACGGCTTTGGATCCTGTTTGTTTAGCAACATAAAAATGCGCGCCCAATGTCGCTCAGATAAAGTATCTGATTGCAATTTTTGCAAAATCGGCATAACATCTTGCAATCGCTCCACACTTTGTCGTATACGTTTAGAAGGCAAATCTATTGACGCATGCACGGAGCTCTCCCATTTGTTGACAAATTCATTTAATACATAGGGACGCCGGCGATAGATAGCCCATTCCTCATCGATGATGGCATTCAGTTCAATAAGATAACTGTCGTAAACTTCCCATTGCTTCGATTGTGCCAACATTTTCGCTTCGATATCGTCGAAAGGCGTCAACTGCTCTGTCGGAAATGACATATTGAATTTGGCGCACTCTTCAAGCAACTGAGTCTTTTTCGCTTGTATTTGTTGCCAATGCTCCTGACGTTCCTTGAATAGTTCCAATGTGGCATTCTCATTACTCTCCAGTTCGCTGATGGTTGACTCCCAGCGTAAGAAAAACTTCTCGGCTTCATTCTGCAAATTTTGAATTTGAGAGTGTGCCTGGTCTTTGATCATATCAACTTGACGCTGCAATATAACTGCGTGATTTTCAATGAGAGGTTGAAGTCGCTCCCATTGCAAGAGTATATTGCTCAGTGCAGTAACACGCTCCTTACACCAACCAGCTAGACAGGAATCTTTGCCCTTGACTGAGTCAAGTGTCTCTGATATCTGCGGATAGATATGAAGTATAAGTATTTTGAAAGTACACGTAAAGAAACTTTTACACACTCACCTTTGGTAATTCCGACATCATCTTTTCATATTTCATGCCGGACTCCGTAATTGTTGTCTCGTCCATGGGTACATTATTTAAAAACTGTATCGAGTTCTGCAGGAACTCCTGTATTACGGTCACATCATTTACAATGGCTGCACGCAAGCTGTTTGTCAACGCTTCCCAGTAACGTCGGCTGATGAGCTCGATTTCCGAACGCAAAGTTGAAGTATTGATAATTATGCAGTCTATCGATTCTTCGGTGCTAGTGGGTGGAACAGTTGGCAAAATAGTATTGAAATAGCGAAATTCATATACTCACTTTTGAATTTTCGCTATTTTTTGACTGAAATTTTTACAAGCTTTAAACTCACGATCCCAATCGTCGGCCACGGTCAGGTGGATGCTGCATAACTCCTCAATATCCACACAGCCTAATGAAACCCAAGGCAACCAGATGGCTTTGAATTGTTGAAGCTTACGAAATAAGTCCTCGGCACGTTGAAAAAGTGGTCCGAAGTAGTGACGATTTATTTCAACCATAGATTTGAATAAGTCCGTGCTATTATCGGATAGACCACGAAAGCTGCTGGGGCGTTCGATGAAGCGCCGCAACTGTGTGAAATACTTCTCACGTATCTCCTCCTCGGGTGGACGATAGCAAAGTTGACGTTGTCTGGTGTAGAAAAATGATTAATTCAAATTTACAAACTATTTGTGTGCGTGCTTATACCTAAACATAATGTCGATATGTATGTCCGGTAGTTTATTGTTCATGTCCACCAGCCCGATTATATACTGATATTCCAACACCTTGTAGAGTTGATGATCCCAATGCAACTTAAAGGCATCCAAGTTGGTGTAACCCTGACGCTCCATTGTGGCGACCAACTCGCGCAGATGCCGCATTTCATCTTTCCACACTTGAGTTTGTGTAAACAAATCGGTATTCATGAGCTTCACGACCTGTTTTTGAAAATAATAAACATTTTTATTAACATTATTTTATCCTATATAAATATTGTATCGAACCGTTCGTTTTCCCTGCTCGTGATAGCCCACTAAGAGCGTGTTATCCGCGGAAAGTTTCGACACTGCCGTTTGCAACGTGTTCACATAACGCTGCACGGACTCCTCATCGTTCCAAGCAACTGTCTCACTTTGCACTAGTTTCGATAATTCCACTGCGTTCTTTAACATGATAGGTCTTTGGCACGGTATCATGCGATCGCCAATGGTATTGTGAAATGTGGCGATCTGTTGTAAGCGACGCGCATAGCTCATAAATTTAGCGGCATGTGTAGCTGAGGAACGCAGCTCAGAGGGCACATTATAGCCGAGATTTTCGAATTCACGTACATCCTGACAGAACATGACCAATTTGGGATTGAATGTCACACGCATCAGCTGTCGACCTTCCTTCTCGAATTTCACAACTGGTTGATCTTCACGCAATCTGTGGTTTTTGGTGGGGAGAGTGTTTTGATAAATTAACAAAGATGGTTTCAAAAACTTCTGTACCTCAACTCGCCACTCTTGACATCTGTGGCGCACTGCCCACACCAAATCTCGAAGTTGGTACGCAATAAAGATTCGGTCTCCTCCTTGAGCTCTTGCACGGCTTTATTAATCTTATCGTAGCCATCGCGTCCACTGATCAAGTGGCTGACCTTCTCGATTTCTTGTATCTGTGGAGTGTTAAAAGTGCCATTGTAAATATTCTATATACAAACATATTCACTTAACCCAACCGTTACCTGGTATTGTACGACCTTCAGCCAACGGCATTCATTGCAAATCACTGACAAATGACCAGTGTCAGGTTCCATATTTGTATCGGACATGGCTTTGCGTAAGTCTTGCAGCAGAAATTGTAGGGATTGTAGGAATTGTTCACGCTCAATCGTCAGCAACTCCAGCACGGCTGGCCGCTGTATGAGAGTCTCGTATTTTGAGAAGATAAATATAACTTGTCGCGGATTGCTGAGATGATTGTGCAGCTGAGCTTTCAACGCTGAGGCGATACGCTCATCGATGGGCTGCAGCACTTGCTCGAAATACTGCAAAGCTTTATTCCACTTAGATTGACCCAGTGGGGTTGTGTCGAATATATTAATTTCTTAGGAAGACGAAATAAAACGTCAAACGAAGTCAAGCTATTAATAACTTAATAAAAATATTTATTTAATACCTTTAAATGGCGAACTCTCGTAGAGCATAATCTTCATCTCTTCGTCATCCAGTAAGGTAGCGATTTGTTTGTAGAGACTTTTAATATTCTTTATCTCTGAAAGTCGTTCTTTAAATTGTTGCCCACGTTTGGGCATGTGCGGTTCTCCAACCCAGGGATGCTGCACATAATTTGGCCAGAAGAGACGCGTAAGCGAGTCGCAGAGCTGCATCCAAGAGTCGGCGGTATCAATGGCTTGACTCATTAATGTATTTACGTGTTGCGAGTTTAAATTCCACATGTCCTCCATCAGAAGTTGCTCCACACAAATTTCCAGCAAACGATTGCCTATTAAAGAAATTGAGGTATTTAACAAAATGATTATATTTGTAATCTCCGGACGTTCGATACAATAATACCTATAATATCCAAAAGATCGCCCATGCGTGCTTGTGGAAACTGATAGGGCAATCGCCATAGTTCATCCAAACTGTTGTGTGAACTATCCAAAAACTCCTCAATGCTGCCACCAGTATTACCAGAATCGAGTGTGCTGAAAAGGAATTAAATGCTTCTTCAAACTGTTTTTCAAGATGTGAGCGGCTTGTAAACTCCAGTCTCAGAGGATAATAGTGTGAAGGAAATTTTGTTACTTGCATGCTGAAAAGTCTTTATGAATTTGGATTATTATTTTTAAATTTAACTATTTGGAAGAAAGTCTGCACGTCTACTTGAAACGTAATTTAAGAGTACTCTAAATATAGCTCGCAGCTTTTTCAAGAGTTTGGTATACTCGTTTGCAGTTAAGAACTTATGAAGGCATACATGTCAAAGTCCTGACCTTTATTAGTCGTACCGATTAATCAGACGAGTTTGTAGGTTGTAGAAGTTTGTACGCTGTTTCAACCATATGATTATTATGGAGGTTAAGTAAACGTCTTAGAAAGAAAATGGAGGTCCCTAAGTATTCCCTATAATCAACACTTCGAAAATTAAAAGGATTTCCAAGGAACACGGCGTATACTGGAAACTAAGGTGAAAACTAAGGTTGGTTGGGTAGTTAAAGGTGTAGCTTGAGGACTAGACAGCGAGCGGCCACTCTTAGGCCGTTGAGACTGCTCATTGGCCTATCCGCTTGATTTGATAAGTGGCTTCTACTAGCTTCTAATTTTCATTAGAAAGAGGTCCCAAGGGTATCTTGGAAGATATGACACCATTTTCTGCGCTTGCTATGCACTCAGCTGGTTCTACGTTACATAGCTTTTGAAGATGAGATCTCAGTTGCAGATGCTCCCTTGTGCTTGATGCTAGTAACATTTTGGTTTGCTTGCAACCCGCAATGCTCTACAATAGTTTAATGGTACGTACTAGGTTGTAAAATACCTCCCCATTTCCTCTAGGCTCAACTACTTAGGCAACATTTGAAGAAGCTAATTGGCTTAAGATAATTGCCAGTGATAGCGTAACCTACAGTGGTGGCCCAAACAAAATCGTGTGTTTTTTCGTTGCTTTCTACATCGTTGTGACTTGAGACCCAAATGAAATTCACCGTATTTTCCAGTGATGAAATATTTTTTTCAGCTTCGCGAATCTCGTCAACGCTTACGCTCTGCACTATTTAGCCTGCAGGTCTTGAATGATCAGCACGAGTTGTATACTTCGGGTTTTATCCGTTGTGAGGGGCTTGATATTTCCTTCACACTAAGTGCGAAAGGCAGTTTCGGCTTGAAAATACGTTTGGGGGAATATATAAAATTGAGCGCATATTGGATCCTGAATTCGTATATCAAAATTACTCAAAATTTTAATGGATAAACTAACCTCATTTGCTTGTCAATATTTTCTAGAATACCAATAAAGACTTGTGACATTTCACGTTCAATGCGTGAACTCGATTTTTTATTAAATTTTTGCCTCCAATATTTAATTTCGTCTTTTACGGACGTTACACCTGTATGAACGAGAATTTTTTCAGTTTATTATTATTGAATCGCAAACTTTGCTGTTAATTACTCAAAAGATAACAAAAATTATTGGAAACTCACCACTTTTTGGTAAACCCAATGTTGAGCCCAAAGAGACATGCAAATTTTCGAGTAAACCACTTAGCTCCGAGCTATACTCAGTTTTCTTAGAAGTTTATAGAGAAGTAGAAAAAAGAAAAGATGATATTAAACAATTTTGTTTAAGTTTAAACTTCGGTAAACTAAAGATTTAATTCAAACAACCACATGCATGTGAAATGTCCTGTTAAAACTATGAACCTTATAAACAGTTTATATGGCATATCATACCTTTAGACCAAATTGCCCGTAACTGCACGTAAAGAAGTTACGTGCCAATTAAAAGAGGAATGCACAACATAAATGCTGGAAAAGGGAGCTGACTCTTCTCTAAAGTAAAGTAATATTCGCAAAGGATAAGTTAATTTTGTGCATAACCAAAAGGTTATTCCCATGGAAAACGAGATTGTTCTAAAGCAATGTAATGTGCATTCTGTTAGAAGGTACCTGGAAACGGCTAATAAGACATAAAATAATTTTTAATAATTTATATGTAACGAATTATATCATCTGCATATAAGGTCCTCTTAAAATAATACACTTATGTTAACAATCATCAAAACAGTTTTAAACACTTTTTGTAACGAACTTCAGTTCTCGCTCCCCGACTAAAGATTGTTGCTTCGAATTGGCTCATTTAAAATGGTAAGAATTATGGGTAAGGTCTAGGAAATGTTTATGGAGAATGTTTTGAAGGAAACACTTCTCCAGCTTGCTGAATGGCAGTGCAAGTAAAACACCAGGACAAGGCACTCGATTCCTCAATTGATGGGGATAAAACAGATATTTCACCGCCACCTATGAAGAAGTTCGAGTAGCAATCGCCAGTTTGAAAAACAGCAAAGCGTCGATCGAGCAGTTGAAAAACGGTGGTGAAGCACTGATAAGGTGAGTGCGTCAGCTTCTTTGCAAAATACGTTCGGATGAAAGCATGCCTGCCAATTGGAACCTAAGTGTGCTCTGCCCAATCCATAAAAAAGGGATCCCACAGACTGCGCCAATCATGGGTTATAAGCTTCCTTAATATCGCTTAATAAGGTCTCATCGAGCGCATTGTGTTAAAGACTAAAGCGTACCGTCAACAAACTGGTTGGACCGTATCAGTGTCGCTTTAGATCTTGAAGTGTAAAGTCCTCTCTCGATGAATGAGTATCAACCTCACCTCATTCCCGTCCTACCTTGAAGTGTGCGAAATCGGTATCCGATGTATTGGTGCTAGAAGTCTTCGATACAAAAGTTTTGCGAACGGTTTTGTTTGTGGATTCTCAACGGCGATTACCGCAGACGATGGTGCGATGAACTGTACGAGAGCGAATAAGGAAACATTGGTTTGATAATGTGGTTCGGATGTATGAAAGTGCTTCAGCACGAAAGTTTTCTATGAAGTGGAAAGACCCAGGTGGATGTACTTGCTTGATTTAGAACAAACCTATTTTGGTTTGCATGTGTCAAAGTTAATAAAAGAAAAGTCAGGAAGGTCTGGTTTAACGCGCCTGAAGACTTACTACCTTGTGAAGAGCAACATTGAGCCAGCAGCTCAGTCTTAGCTAATGGGCTATTATATTTTAATTTAATTTTTAAGATCTGACAACTTATTGTGAGGCTCCTGATAAAGAATCAGATTCTATAAATAAATAAAAATATTTAAAAAAACGAAGGTCTGGGCCAAACATTCTAGAAGTTTTATGAACCCACTACCGCTTAAGTGTCTCGGTATTCTCATAACGATAGGCACGTCTGTCTATCCACCTAAAAAGAGAAAGTTTTTATTTAGTAGACAAAAGTGAAATCAAACCTTATTTATTTGTCCAAATTGGTCGGCATTTATCATTAGGAATTTCGCATGACTTGGCTTTTCCAAACGGGGGTATCACAATGGATCTGTTGGCGTAAGTGCACTAGTATTACGCCATCTCAATGACAGATATCCGGACAATATATATCATTAAGCAATCCAAAAAGGAACGAGAGAAGGTTATGTATACAAGCCCTAAAAGTCTAAGCACTTACAGTTTATTGTTTTTTTTTTAAACATTCTTGATTATCATGGCGCACACCTTGTGTGCCCTCAAATGTATGTGGCTACTGCACCTAAGCTAAACTGACCATTTTAGTTTCCAAGGACAGAAACGTAAAATAAGCATATTGTACCGTTAACTTACTCTGGCTTCAGCTTGCGGTGAGAATACACGCGAAACAGAATTGTAAATCGACTTGACCAAACCGCCCTCGAGCGTCAAAATACCAAGCGGTTGGTCATATGCTTCACTATCTCCAGCAGATGAAATGTTTGCGGTGGCACCCTTGCCACCGACCTGAGGTATCTTATAGAAGAGCAAACAAACCTCGTCACCCGGTATGCGATGATGAAATTTTATGCTGCCATCCGATTTGTTATGCACCGCTGCAATGACGGTGAGTTCGTCGTTCTCGAGAAACTCATGGATGGCGGACAGATGTTCGTCAGCAGCTTGACCAACGCTTGAGCTAGCCGCAAAATATTCAACTGTGAATAGAGAAAATGTGAAATTTAGCAAAAATGTTGAAAGTAAGCAAAATGAAATGGGTAAAAAAGAATAGAAAAGTTTACTTAGCAAATAGACATATATGATTTTTTTTCAATCTTTCTTTCTATGAAGTTAGAAAGTGTTAGTTCTGTAAGTTACATTGAAGTTTACTTCAGCATAGCCACAAAATTTAGTACCTGAAGTGCCTTTTAAAGTAAAAAAGTACAAATATCATACTCATGCAGCGCTCATCAGTGTCCTTTTGGAATTATGAATTTCAAATTAATTAGCATTTTTCCTCACAAACTATTTACCTGAAGTATTTATTATGAACTTGGACTTATTGCTGTTGCGGATGTTGCTGCTCATTTTGGTAGTAATTTATATTTTGTTTTATTTTTGTCTTAAATAATGAATGAATTGAAAAATATTTAAGGTCCTTTCGCTGAAAGGACTCACTTAATTATAAGTAGTACTTTCCTATTTTTTCCATTATTTGTTTTGCCCTTTTGTTGTCATGGTTGCACTTAGCAGTAAACCACCGTTACCATGGTTGAGAAATTACAAATACAACAAAAATATATCTCACCGGCAGCTTTGCCTTGGAAGTGAGCGTTGTTTACCACAGCACCTGTTGGTAGCCGCCTGAAAAGGAAACCAAAAAAAATTGGGAAAGTAAATAAACAAATAAATAGTAAACAAATTACCGAACTCAACGACGACTTCTAAATAAGCCCTTGCGCAATTCAACACATTTCATAGAATTTTAACTATGCAACGCTTCGCTGTGACACGTACTCAATAAATACATGAAAAAAAAATAATAATTTTATTTACTCATTACTTGTGGCTATGCAATATTTTTGGTGATAAAATCGGCTGGGCAAATGAAAAGGTTATCTGGTACGCCGACCCACAACATCCAACACACAATTGTCCATGTGTGCAGTAATACGTATCTAAATGTGACCACATATTCCAAAGATTTACCATGAACTTTGTTGATGATGATTGCAAATGACAGTCGAAAAGGTGACTGTAGTCACTTGAATTGAAAGGGAGTATCGGACGAAATAATGGCGGCCGCAGTAGCCGAGTGGTTAGCATTGCGTACTGCCATTCGGAAAGTTCAAATCCTGATGTCGTACTAACATCGAAAAAGTTATAGAAAATTAATTTAAATAAAAAATAAAGCTAAGTTTTCTAATTGGGGTCGCCCCTCGGCAAAGAATGTGAACCATTCCGTTATATTTCTGTCATGAAATAAAGCTCCTGAAGAAAAATCTATCAGTCGTTCGGAGGCTAAGCTATAAACATCAAGACGCAAAAACAACAAATTGGAGGAGGAGCTCGGCCGAAAATCGCTTTAGCGGTTACAAAGCGCCAATTATATACATACGAGTATATTTAGTGAGTTCATCAATTATCAAATTTAATATGTGTGGCGAGACCTCAACTAAGATCAAAGAACTCAAAAACTCTGTTAGATATATGACTGCCTCAGCTGCTTCCACAAGGGTGGGAATTGATTTGTATGTAACGCATTGGCTCTCAATGTTGGACAGAACAGTATGATTGAGATTGTAGTCACCTTGGTTTGTTGCAATAATAACTTGTTCACTCAGCCACCAATGATTCTTTGGTGTATCTTTTGACGTCAATAAATTGCAGAGGTTATCAGGTAATGCAATCCGTCCGGAAGTCCAATCAATTGGCATTTTATCTATCCCCATTTCCAGTATCTGACAAGAAAATACATCACCTGTTAAATCGTTTTGCAAGTTGACAAGCAAAATGGTATAGTTATGTCTTCAGTCGATTAGTAACTTTCTGAAATATGTGGATCTTTACAAACGAACTTTTGAATATGAGGTATATAGATAGTAATCGATTGTCAGAAGCAGGAAAATTAGGCGACTATTTCATGGTCGATTGTTCAGATATGTATGCGGTTGTGTGTCATAATTTTCATAACAAATCAGTTAAATGAGTGAGTTAACTAACGTAAGTCCGAAACAAAAATGCGAAAGCAAAAATTTGTTCCCGTTCATACTAACCTCTGGCCGACTGACTTGTAGCTTACTAAATTTCACATGTGTATTTTATATATTCTCAGCTTTGCTCCGTTCTTTTAGGGGTTGTTTTGCCCAGTAAACCAAAGGTAATGCTGCTAAGGTACTAAATTATAAGTATTTTGAAGTATACATGGAAAACACTTTTAAACAAATTTAGGGGTTGATAAGCTATTTGTGATTTCAATAGAAAAAAACTTTCCCTTTTTCATTGCAGTTCTGTTCGGTGAGATAAGTCAGTAAGAATTAGCCAGTTAATTAGACAATTTTGAGCACTCACGGTGTAAATTGTACTGGCTTTTTTCCTTACCGAACAGAAAAATTTAGTGAGTCCTAATTCGTCATAATTTATTAGAGGAATTTAGCGAGTAGAATCACCCAGGTATGCATAACATAATATGAAACTTATCTAATAAAAGCTATACTAACTGTACTGGGGAATCAGAAGTTTTTGGTTTGTACCGTGCTTCAATAATAAGAAATTTTCTTGATATATCCGGGGCATTTAATAACCTCATAAAAATGTTACAATCGATTAAAATCCTTTCTAACATTGATGGTTGCAATAGCCGAGTGGTTAACACTGCGCACTGCCAACACAGGGTTCGGCTCCTAGTTCCTACTAACTTCCAAGTACGTACCTTATATGAAATAAATAAAATCTGCTCCTCGGACTTGGCTGTAGTTCGTTTAATTTGATGGAAAAACATTAAGACGCTTACCACGAAATGGAGGTGGACATGACCGGTTACAGTTGGTGTTATTTATCTGTATCTCGCGTAGTATAAGTTCGATCGGGTTCCACTAAATGACGTTAGAAAGATGACATTTCGGAAATTTCTGGTAGTTTTGTGATTGGTTGATTCATTTTTGCTTGAGGGTGCGTCAAAGATGGACTCTAGCAAAGAGAAAATACAATATGTTCTACAGTTTTTTCTCGATAAGGACGAAAACGCTAGCCAGGCGGCTAAAAATATGAATAGGGGTTATGGTCCTGATACTGTTACAGTCAATTGAGCAGAATATCGGTTCCATTCTGATAATTTTGATGTAAAAGAGGCTTCACGGAGTGGAACGCGATTGTGGCAAATGTCGTTAAAATCATGAACATTGTCGAGTCTGAACGTTATGTAAGTACTATTTTTATTGCCCAAAAGCTAAAGATGCGCAAAAAACTGTTAGGAACCATTTGAATAAGGATACAAATGGATAAGTAAAGAAAAAATTAAACCATTAAATTTCTTTCAGCATGTCCAAGAAAGATTTTTTTTTCAAAATCAATACCGAATGCGATAAATAATAATTTTAATAAGTTTTCTAGTTTATTTTTTCGTAACTTTTCGATAAAGTCTACCACTTCAAAATGCATTGACCTTGATTGCCAAACCTTCCAGTGGTGAAAACATTCCTAAAAAGTGATAATTGGCAACTTAATAAAAGCCTTATTCCCCTTACAACTGCATCTGGCTTCCTTTGCTTTGCTCTGAGTTTTGCATTCACCGAAATAGACAATGTGCCAGTCAGTTAACACTTTTACAACTTTTGGCAAGCGACACGGTTTTTCACTTACGAATTAAGCCGAAGCTTGTGAAGTAATCAAGGAGGAAGGATATACATACATACGTACATATACGTTTATAAAGTCTTAAATGGGCAAATGCAATGAATTAAATAATTTTAGGAAAAGTGGATGACAATTATTTACGCTAAAATTGCAATTTAGGCTATCCGCAAGTTATGCTAACCGTTATGTGTGACGTGTACGTATACGAGTACATACTTTTATTTATAAATTTAGCGCTATTTTCACTTGCAGCACTTGTAACCGCAGCAAGTGGCAACAACTGCGAGGTATTTTGCGTATATTGCCTTGTGGCGGATAACATTGCTTTTAGTTATAAATGTATTTGTATTTTTTTTTAGCTTTTTCGTTATTTTCGTGGACCCGACATGCAGAGTTTAGAACTAATTGTCGATTTTGCGGTGTTGGAAAAATCTAAAATTTATGTCGTTGTTTAGTTTAGTGGCTTCGCAAGAACCATCAGGCGGGCAGATGGCTTCATCAAAATTTCTATGTAATTTGTGAAAAGAGGTATACATATAACAATTCACCGAAGCAAAAATTCCGCAACCAAATCGAGAATTTTGTGTTAGACGACAGCCACGTCTCTAGTGTTCACTATTTCGTTGCTGTTCCATCCGTCTCTATGCAGTTAAGAAAGGCCGTCAGCATACACAAGGAAAGTTGGATGTCGAGAAGCTGCCAACACAACACTTGCTCCCCGAGAGCACTCATCAACAACTCGGTATAAAGGAACTCTGAAACAGCATTGTAAAGATTCCTACATACAGCTGCAATTAAAAAAAGATGGCACGATGGCAATGTGGGAGAGATACAGAGAGTTAAAGAGAGAAGTAAAACGCTTTTGTAGACAGTAAAGGCGAGAGACAAAATACCTGAGTATACTCATATAGAGTTTGAAAAACTTACCGCTAGAGCATACGCCGAAGATATCTATGAACAAATGCGGTCAATTTCAGCAGGTTCGGAGACTATATCATACTCATTTAGAACCCAAAGAGATAACTTGTTGACCGATGTCTAAAATGTACTGATCTCTTATAGGGAACACTACTCCAGACAGTGGAATTGGCGCAGTGCAGATAGTGAGTCCGAATATGCTATCGATGACTACGAAAAAAAAGGTTCCTTCATCCGACTATGACGTAGTTCAAATTGCAATTGCCCGCGGCACTCGATCGTTTACAAACCGAGCGATTCAAATATCATACCAAAGAACTAGCAAATAATTTCACATCTTCGCTATATTAGGACGGATATATGCATACTTGACTCCTAGGACCTAATTGATATATCTAATCAATTTCGTTTCTAAGGTACCATTGTCCGCATTTCGTGAAAGAATAAAGTCATTAGACTGAATTTATCACTGCAGATGGAGAATAGTTTGGAGATATACTCGGCGTGCGGAATATTTCAGAAATAATATCTCTTAAAGAAGGTTCTGCATCTATGCCACTAAAATCGGGGAACACCAAGGCCAGACCAACTACAAAGTCAGCTGTGCGTTGCTAACCACTCGGATATTTTTTATTTAAATTAATTTCTTATAAATTTTATATTTTGGTAAGAGCAGGATGCGAACCCTGCTCTTTCGAATGACAAAATGCAATTGTAACTACTCGGCTATGTGCTGTATATATGGTGTAGAGCCATGGCCGATGACAACATCGTTGAGTCGGCGTTGGGAGCTTTTCAGTTCCTCTTCGCGTTGG